CGGCGAAACTACCCCACGAAGTGCAGCATAAACGCCACATTGACAAACCGGTGTCCGAAAAAACCAGTGAACTGAAAGTTGTCTCGAGCCTCTCCGGCACCGACCGACGGAAGAGCGCCTTCGATCTGGTCGATCAGATGCCATTTCTATTCGTACGGGTTGTGAAGGTGAACCGGGTCAACCCAGATCCCGACTCCACCGCCTACGCGAAGCTCGTCATCGGAACTCACGCCATCCGAACAAAATCGTTAACCCCTGCCGCCGGAAACAGAGAATGGGATCAAGTTTTCGCCTTTGATAAAGATGGGCTGAATTCCACTTCACTCGAAGTCTCCGTTTGGGTCGAGAAAAAAGACGCCGAGGAGAATTGCATCGGAACAGTGTCATTTGACTTGCCGGAGGTCCCAAACAGAGTGCCCTCCGACAGTCCTCTGGCTCCTCAATGGTACAGTTTAGGCAGCGACAATCACGTCACCTTCCCGGAAAATGAGGTCATGCTGTCGGTGTGGATCGGGACTCAGGCGGACGAGGCATTCAACGAGGCCTGGCAGTCGGACTCCGGCGGTCTTGTGCCGGAGACCCGAGCCAAAGTATACTTGTCCCCAAAGCTATGGTACCTGAGACTAACGGTCATCCAAACCCAAGATTTGAAACTTGCTTCGGCAAGCACCGAAGCTAAAATCCAGACCCCAGACCTGTACGTGAAAGGCCAGCTCGGCGCCCAGCTGTTCAGGACAAGCCGCACCACATTCGGGACCTCCAGCTCAGCTTCTAATCCGACGTGGAACGAGGATCTGATCTTTGTCGCAGCCGAGCCGTTTGAGCCGTTTCTGACCATCACTGTCGAGGACGCGACTAACGGTCATCCAGTGGGCCATGCCTTCGTACACGTGGCGACAATTGACAGGCTGATGGATGACAAGTCAGAACGCAGATCCAGGTGGTTTAACTTGGTCTCTTTGGACAGTACAGAGAACAAACAATACGCCGGACGGATCCACGTGCGAGTCAGCTTGGAAGGCGGATATCACGTGCTTGACGAGGCTGCCCACCTGACTAGCGACGTTAGGGCCACCTCAAAACAGCTCTTAAAGCCTCCTGTCGGGCTACTTGAGGTGGGAATCAGAGGGGCCACCAATCTGCTCCCAGTGAAAACCCGGGATGGTACACGCGGGACCACCGATGCTTACGTGGTAGCGAAGTACGGACCCAAGTGGGTCCGCACCCGCACCATCGTCGACCGGTTCAACCCGCGTTGGAATGAGCAGTACGCGTGGGAAGTCTACGACCCGTGCACCGTACTAACCATAGGCGTGTTCGATAATGGAAGGTGCAACAACAATCACGAGCAAGAGAACGAAAATGAGGCAACCGGAAAGAAGGATCTCCGCCTCGGGAAGCTACGAATACGGCTATCGACGCTTGACACGAATAAAGTGTATGCGGGGACGTATTCTCTTATGGTGTTGTTGCCGGGTGGGGCGAGGAAAATGGGTGAGATTGAAATAGCGTTGCGGTTCACATGTTCGTCGTGGTTGAGTTTGATTCAGGCGTATGGTAGCCCCGTTTTACCCAGGATGCATTATGTGCGACCTTTCGGGCCGGGTCAACAGGATGTACTAAGGCACATGGCTATGAGAATTGTAATGGCAAGGTTGGCTAGGTCCGAACCCGCATTGGGTCCAGAAGTGATTCAGTTCATGTTGGATATGGATACCCATATTTGGAGCTTTAGGAGGGGAAAGGCAAACTGGTTTCGGGTTGTAGGGTGCTTGTCGAGGGTAGCGACATTGGCCCGTTGGGTCGACAAGATCCGGTCATGGGCGAGTCCCTTGATCACAGTTTTGGCTCACATACTACTAGTGGGTATTGTTTTGTGCCCGCACCTCATTGTGTCAATAATTTGTATGTACGCGTTTCTCGTCACATCTTCGAGATTTCGGTCCCGTCGGGGCGTTATGATCTCGATGGACCCACGGTTATCCTACTTGGATGCGGTGGGTCCCGATGAGCTCGATGAGGAATTTGACGGCTTCCCGACCACACGGTCGCCCGAACAAATCCGAATGAGGTATGATCGGCTGAGGGCATTGGCGGGCCGGGTCCAGACATTGCTCGGCGATGTGGCGGCACAGGGTGAGAGGCTGGATGCGTTGTTCAATTGGAGGGATCCGAGGGCGACCGGGATATTTGTGGTTGTGTGCTTCTTGGCTTCTATCATCTTTTACCTGGTGCCATTGAAGGCATTTGTTTTAGGGGCAGGGTTCTACTACCTGAGACACCCAAGGTTCAGGGGAGACATGCCGTCCATCCCTATAAATTTTTTCCGGCGACTCCCATCACTTTCCGATCAGATTCTTTAATTGTGATCTGGAGCTTCCTTTTAGATTATTTTGTTCAATGATGTATTATTTAAAAGTGGCATATTAATTGATTTAATAATAAAATTGCTTCTATGTTATCTCTAGATTTTTTGTTCAGTGATATTTTCTGAACCGTGGAAGTATTGGTTGGTAAATAGACAAATAGTAAAATTGCTTGTCCCATTTTATTCTTTCATGATTACTAGTTCAGTGGTGAATTTTAACTCACATTCCCCCCCTAACTTTGTTTATCCAACTTTAACTATTCGAAGTCAATTTTGCGGTTACATAAACTTTTTGTGCAGTTCTAAAATTTGTAAACATTAATTAATCGGCATATTGTAAAAAAGCTTCAATATTATGTCCACAGTATGACTTTGAGTTCTCAAATTTTCCTTCAACCTCTTTACCTTCTTTTGTTCACTTGAGGATAAATTTAAGAAAATTTTACAATATGAACCTTTTCATCACATACCAAATCGTCTACACCAATAGACTAACTTTGATTATGAAAGGAAAGTACATTTCTATTTTGAGAATAAAAAACATTCACTTCTATTTGTACATTTGTGTTTAGGTTTAATCCAATATAGAACAATTTCTTTTTTTTTTGGTCAACTTATCTAAACTCATCCCAAAATGACTAAAATAAACCACTATAGATCTATGGAATGTTTGGAGGACACCCATATTTTGATAAATTCCATAAAAAATGAACTTGGTGAGACTTAAATTGTGATGTAATTCTAAAATACATAACAATCCATATTGGGAATACCCGGTCCTTGTAACATCTTCAATGCAAAAACATGAACGATGCATAAGTGAAATGAGGGAGATAGACACATACAGTTATTAAGTATAATCTCTCTCTCCTTGTTTAAAATGTCTTACGAGTATATGTTTTTGGTAAGTTTTTCTTCAAATGTCAAGTACAATGTTCAGCTGTAGACATTCTGATTGGCATTATTGAGAAAAACTTATCAAAAACACATAAAACCGTAGAATTAAAGTGAGAGTAACGTCATGAACTTATTATTTTATGCTTATATCTCTCATGATACCAGTGCACTGAACACAGTATATGCTCTTAGAGTATTCTAAATCAGAAATGCCATACCCATTGGTTATAATCCTGTAAATAAATAAATTTGTGATTGTTTTTATAGTACGTATTTCAAATCTCAAATAACATTGGAGATGCTAGAGTATAAATCACGCTTGTGGCCAGAGGCTAAGGGAGTAAGGCGACAACAAACGGAACAATTCAAGAGGAAAGGCAACATGTATAAATTGAAACTAATGCCTTTTTGGTGGTTGAAATTCAGAAAGATGCATTATTTTTATTAATATTAAACATGTCTTTGAGAGACAAGTTTTTTGTCTCATTTTATAAGCTCTTACGAATCATGTTGCTCATACATTAACAAGGATGTGTGTTTCTAATTTAAAAGGTAGTTATAGTTCTAATCAATTAATCGGGCTTGAGGGTGTTTCATTAAGTATTCTTTTGACAGATTAATAGTTAAGCGCGGACGGCATAGCAATCGTCTATGGTAAGGTTGGAGAACAGCGGCATTAGGACTTCCGGCGGCGTGGGTTCTAAGCTTTCAGGTATGGATCTATACTGATAGATGACCAATCGCTCCTTTGCTTTGGAGTTCAATTGCGATTGGGGACAAAAGAAGTATCACGCGTCAGTTGCATTGGCGATCTAATTCAGCCAGGAGGGTTGAATTTCTCTTGATTCAATAGCTGTGACGAACCAAACCAAAAGGAAGGAACGTATCTACCTCCTATTGGGACTGAATAGCAGAGTTCCGACTAGCTTCACGTATCGGCAGCGGGGATTTGGAGACTGCGTGCTTTCGGATTGGTTGTGTCCGTGCAATACTTTGGCCAAGAGAAAGAACCGACTCACGCGCAGATCAAAGTGATGAAGGAAGAAGATGAAGGGATGAAAATCCGCCCCCTTCCTGAACCGCCGACATGGAGGAACCGTGCGACTAGGGTTTGGAAGATTGTTTTACTATTTCTAGTTTTTTATGTTTTATTTTTTATTTTTTATTTTTATACTAGACTATTTTCTATCTCAATTTTGTTCTTCCTATGAGCCGCTATGACAAAGGATAAGGGGTAGATTGGTGCTTTGGTTTGTTTTAGTTGATAGATTACATATTAGAGGCAATATGACCAATTCAGTCGTTAATAGCTCTATATACTCTCACAGTTTCAACGATTAGTTTCGCTCTTCTTAAGATGGATTATTCTATGTATGATCATGACGGGGCAATGGGTTTTAGGATTTTGTTGTTGTTCTGGATGGTTTGATTTAATACATGCTACTTCCTCTATTCTTAAATAAGTGCAACGGTCAATATTTCATACTTGCCGAGACACAAGTTTTACTATTAATATGTATAATTCTTTATTAGTAAAAGAAATTTAAAAAAATAGATTTTGAAAATTTACAATGATACAAATTTAACAATATCTTTTTCAAGAAAATATATTAATACATTATTTAATTAAACATAATTAAAGTAGAACATGTGAATAATATTTTCCTTTTCAACAAAATTGAGGCTTGAGGATATGTTGGTAATCTGATCCTAAATCATTTATTGAAGAAAGGTGATCCTAAAATAGCTAAAAACCTCATCCAAATAAGAGGACTTTCAACCACCACGAAACAGAGCAAGAGAATGGCGACATCATTAGCCAGACCACCGGGTACTACGTTCTCCTCCATGATGGACTCTTCAAGAATCATACGGAAGCCACCACCATCATCTACCATCGTGTCCATCAAATCCCATCGGAGCACAGAAATTTCAAAAAGAGCTTTGTTGAATGTAGGGCTGGGTTTCATGCCTCTAGTCACCATCCGTCCTCCTCCCTCGAGTTCCAGGGAAGTTGAGGTCGGCTCTTACCTTCCGCCATCGCCAAGCGTCCCTTCTTTTGTCCTCTACAAAGCCAAACCCACTGACACTCCTGCTCTTCGTGCTGGTATCAATTAAACCTGTTCTTAACTGCCCATTTTCAGCTGCTTTACCGTTTTGTCTTGATATGACCTTTCTTGTAGAGTAATCCGAAGTTTTGGCTTAGAAATTCTTGTTCTTTTGCTTAGTACATTCTTGATTTGGCTTAGAGTAATCCGAAGGCTTGTATTTGTGGGATAGTTTTTGCTGAAATAACATCCTCGAGATCAGGGTTGTTAGTAATTTTGGATCGAACTAACGTGTGTTCAACTGAAAGTCATGATTTTTTCTCTATATCGGACTGAAAGCTACCAATATTTAGTAATCAACGACATCTGCTTCATAGTTAAGTAGTGGGTCAAAGACCTCTATAATACCTACATCTGCATGTAGGATTTTCATTTTAAACTAAGGGTCTGTTTGAATTCAAGGAAATGCTGGAGAAAGGGGTGAATTACAAACTCCTTCACTATTTCCTTTGCCGTCATGGTTTACAAGATTTGATGGAAGTTTATTAGTTTAAGTTAAATTCCCCTAATCATATTTAAATTATACTCCGTAATTAATAATTAAAACTTACATTGTATAATATGAGCATGTGCATACAAAATATTATTGCGTTGAACAGATATTTTATTTTCCTTGCATTTTGTTTCTTTCCAAATTCCACATGAACTTTCCTTTAAATGTTCTTTCATAGGTTTTTTCATAGTTCCAAGCAAACCTTAAAAGTTCAGGTGAAAGAGAAATGTTTAAGCCAGCACGTGCGATGAAGTTTTCATTTCAAACTCTCCTGAGAGTTCAAAACGATGGGAAAGCGATTCCCATGTTTCCTGATGCACTTACCTGAGAAAGTTTGGTCAAATTCTTTTTTAGGGAGTAAAGTATTTCCAACTTAGGGTTGACTTAGATTCTTTTTCACGGAAAATTTACTTAACTTTTCTGGGACTTGACCTCAAGATGTTTAGTGTCTGCTTCGAACCAGGAAAAGCTAGAGAGAAAATGAAAATTGCTGGGAAGTTTGGAATGAATGGGGGCAAGTTAAGATTACTTCAAACTGAATAAGTTTGGAATGAATGGGGGAAATAGATATTTGCTCAAACTGATTGCATCTATATATATTTGTCATAAGTAATAAGTACAGATGTAAGCATTTTCTTAAGTACTAAAATACTATCGAATTTGATTATTCTTAGCTTTTTATTTATTTCCCTGGCATTTTACGGGTTCCTAACATAGCCTTATTGTTTCTACATCCTATAGGCTTATGAAGCTTCAATTTTAGTTGGTTTCAGGAAACGTGGAGCCATACACATTTATGCTTCCTCCTACTTGGAAACAGACTCGTGTAGCAAACATCTTATCCGGTAACTACTGCCAGCCCAAGTGCGCAGAGCCGTGGGTTGAGGTAAGGTTTGAGGATGCAAAGCAGGGGAAAGTTCAGGTGGTGGCGTCTCCTTTGGTACGCCTTACCAATAAACCAAATGCCAAAATTGAGGACATTGGGACCCCAGAAAAGGTCATCGCTTCTCTTGGCCCTTTTGTCACTGGGAACACTTATGACCCTGATGAGCTCATTCAAACTTCCATTGAGAAGCGTGGTGGTCTAACGGTATGCTGCAGCTTATAATAACTTTTCATAATTAATTCTAGATTTTCTAAACTTGTAGGCTCTCCCTTCTTTTTCCTTCCTGTCATTTGTTGGTAGTATCGTTCCTTTTATTCTGCAGAGTAATAGGAATAAGTAGAGTGGGGTTTCTTATTTGGCTCAAATAGATTTTACAAAACACTATTCCTTTCAAACATTTTAGCAGATTCAGCCGTTTCATCAGGCAGACTCTTCATGGATTAGCATCTGTACTTGCAGCCTCCTCTAGTTGGACTGACTCAACGATAATAAAACATAAACAGAGACAGTCATCACCATTGCCTTCGCCATCTCCATCATCTCATGATGATCATAGCCATCTTAGTCCCAACTAGTTGGGATCGATAACGTAACAATTATAGTGTCAATTGATAATTTAGATCAGGTAACAGAAATTATACAAGAAGATTATTTTAGGACATGCCAAAAAGATAAATATCTGTTTGAATGTAGGGTGTTTCGAAAGGGTGGGTTTAGTCTTTATCTTGATATACTTGAGCTCAAAATTTGAAAGGTTGAAATAATATGTGATTGTATAACATTTGAATCCTGTGGTACTCATTTTCAGCAAGAAATACATCCTATTTATGAAGATATAGAAAGCTCAAAAGTCAAAACAGAACCTAAGAAGATTAAAAGGGGACTGAGAGATGGAGTATTTAGGAAGATGTGATTCAGTTGTGGTCTTGTGTATGTTATGGGGGTTACATGGTTCTGTCAACTGCATCATCTCTTGCATGGATCATAGTGTTTTCATGAATAATACTTCTGCTTCTGTTTGCAGTACTACAGGTATGTTCTGGAAACTCCTTACGCTCTTACCGGGTCCCACAATCTTGCAAAAGCAACAGCGAAGGGAGACACAGTTGTCCTCTTTGTGGCCAGTGCCAATGAGAAGCAGTGGCAATCATCACAGAAAACTTTAGAAGCCATTCTTGATTCCTTTGAACTGTAGTTTCTTTCTTTAATGGAAGAGCCCTTCTAATCCCATTTTGATATCATAGAAGAGAGCCCATTCTTGATTTTGTTCTTTTTTATGGCAAAAGAAGCAAACAAGTCAATGTTTGTATCAAGTGCATATAAAACATTTCCCTTGATGCTTTTAAAGTTGTAAAGTTTAACTTAAGCTTCGTTCAATATATACTCAATTTTTTTGGCAAATCTATACTCAAAATTTTGAATAAAAACGTGAAAATAATGTTTTGGAACATTATAAAACATATGCACTGTGGTCTGCAAGTATAAAAACATAACTGTTATGAAAAAATAAGCATAAGATTAGTGATAAAGATGTTATTAATGGTGTATTAAAGGTGTGGTAATGGTGTAATAAAAGTGTGATAATGGTGTGTTTACAATGAAGGAGAAGTCTCTATTTATAGGCTAAACAAATAATTAACTCAGAATGAGAGGATAAATATTAGCCACATATCATTATTTAGAAATCATAATTTTGACTTCTGAATTATCTTGATAATGATAATAATGACTTATTAATCATGAATAGTTAGGAGATTGACTAATTCAATTATATTTCAACAAAAACAAGCCCCCCCATCCCCCACATTTTTACATACAAGTTATTATATGTATCAAATTTTGTTTGGAATCATGGATGATCTAATAAATTGTGAGAAAATTGTTCAAACTAAGACTAAAACATGACATTCTTTACTATATGTTTGGTTTTCCTAAATAAGATTAATTATTCCATTTTTACTCTTAATTTAATTAATTAATTAACCTCATTAATTGCCTCCTAGTTGTGTTGCATAACTAAGGGTCTAAGGTCAACCAAGGTCAGTCTATTAGTGGCGGCTCAATCCGATGGTGGCGGTAGCTTGGTGACGAGTGACGACGACAAGCTCTGGAGAAGGCAACCAGATTTTGTCAATTTGCAGTGATCTAGGGAGAAATCCGGCTGCCGATGGTGGTCCGGAAACCTGAGGGCAACAATCCTCCAAGGCTCCAACCCTAAAAGTGCATTTTATCAGATCACAAATAAAAAATCATATGTATAGCATTTTTAAACTAGTTGGTTCTATTTTTAAAAAAAATATTATGTTTTGTCCTGTTTGAGTAAATCTCCCATAAATTATGAAGTAAAATATTCAATTTTATGTTTGAACTTTTGTTTGTTTGTGTTTCCCTGTTTCAACAATCAAACCAATAGAATAGTGAAGAACATATTTGTTGTATATTCAATACCAAAATGATTTTGCAATAGAATGCAGGGTATGAATAGTGGCTCTCTCTCACAGGATGAGGTTATATGCAGGAAATATATGGAGAGGCTTGTGATCTCATTCTCTTTAAGACAATATTATATGCCTAGGGAATGAATTAATGTGACCTAAGTGTGATTGGGCCCTTTTATTGAGGTGGTCCAAATGCACACAATACAAGACTTTTCCTAATATAGCTACTCTAATAATAGTCAAATAAATATATTAATTAAACTAAATACAACACAAATAAAGTTATATTATACGTGATTGAACACCATAAAATACCTCTAACAATCTCCCCCTTGGTGTTCAATCATGTTTACTCAGGAGCGCGGATATCTTTGTGTTTGTGTTGTTTTTGTAGTGTAGAGGAGAGGTTGATGAGATTGGTTGAGTGGCTCCTCTTTTGGTCTTGATAAACTGTGCAGTTCAGCTTCCCTTGTCTTCTACATGAGGCATAGTGAAGGAACGTAGCCCTTACAATCCCCCCTCTGAGGAATTCTTCAAAAACTTGCTTGTAGTTCTTGCCTTTAAGAAGTTTTTCTTGATCAACTTGAATGAAGCCTAATGACGCCTCTAGAATGAATGTTCTCGAAGTGTTCCAGGCGCACAAGGGATTCATCTTCGTGTTTGATTACCCGACTTTTGTCTCCTCCACAACGTAGCCTTTTTAGACCATTTGATGTGATTTTGCAATAGAATAGAGAAGAATATTCAATACCAGAATGATTTTGCGATAGAGTACATGGTATGAATAGTGACTCTCTCACAGAATGATGTTATATGCAGGAAACTTATGGAGAGGCTAGTGACCTCATTCGCTTTAAGGCAATATTTATATGCACAGAGAATGAGTTGATGTGAACTAAGTGTGATTGAGCCCGTTTATTGAGGTGGCCCACATGCACACATTACAAGGCTTTTCTTGCTATAGCTAGTTTCATAATAGTCTAATAAATATATTAATTAAACTAAATACAATACAAATAAAGTTATAATCAGCATGATTGGTGAGCATAAAATATCTAACAGTTTGTTTCATATCTAAACAAATTTGGTTCATATATCAGTACACAAATACTCCACATAAATATAACACCCACAAGTAGGAAATATAAATAATGGTGTTGGAAGCATTTGTAGTCTATATAAGTTTAATTTCCTTTATGTCATTCGCTCTACTTTATTTTATATTCTTCCTAAATGACCTTACTTCTTTTGAAGGGTGTGGTTGGTTGGAGCATTTTTGAAGGGAATTGAGGGGACTAGTGATTTTCATTTTTCTAGAGAATATACATTTAAATCTTGGTCTAAAGAATGAGAATATATTTAGTGAAACAATGTATTCCTAATTATTCGTTTTTACCTCCCAAATCTATATCTATATAATGTAATAAAGCAAACCTTGAAGAACTCTTTGAATGAAATCTTAACATGTGGCAACATCCTTTGCAAGAAAAATGACATGTGGAAACACCATAAAGGAGAAATAAAGGATAAATCATTCAAATTCTAAAACTCCACTCTTACGTATTCCAATATATTTGTTATGTGTGTGTGTAATTTAGAGGTTTTCCTGAGATATTACCAATAAAAAATCTACGGACAAAAATACGATTATAAGTTACTATGAATAAGTTTAAAGTGACTATGATGTAAGATTTAAATACGATCATAGTCATTACAAGTTACTTATTCATATTTTGTCCACTACTTTTATTTTAATTGTATATTTGGAATTATTTATATGTCTATTTTTATATGTTGTTTTATTAGACGAGTTCAAATAAAAAGTCATTTTCCCGTGCAAAGTGTGAACGATTTTACTTTTCGCTCAATGCGGTGCACTATTTCATGTTTACTTACGGAATTGTCATCGCGTTTTTTGATCAAATATAGAACGTTTTAAGCATTTGAAACAGTAGAAGGAAATCTATTCAACTTCCCAAACTTCACATATACAAACCCTAATCAACTTCTAACCATTTATAAATAGATAGCTACTAATTAATTCATTATCTTTACATTACTACAACTATTAGGTGAAAAATAATGTCATACTCTCTCCGTCCCAACTTAAGGTTCTCATTTCCCTTTTTTGACGTCCCAAACAAAGGTTGACATTCATACTTTGGGAAATAATTAGGGTGTTTTTACTTGGACTAAAATTTGTTGGTCTGGACTGGTCTGGATTGGTCTGATCTATCTGGTAAATGTCTGGTCTTTGTCTATTTTATAACTATGGAACTCTAGTCTGGTCTATTAAGTCTGGTCTGGTATGATCTGGTCTATTTACATCTAATATGGTATGGGATTGAAAACAGTTCAAGTAAAAATATTTGTAACACTCTTAAGTGACAATCTAATCATTAAATATTTAAAGTAATACATTTAACATCACAGTTATCATCAATGACTCATTACATTATACTCTCATTACAATTTAACATCACATTTATCATCAATGACTCATTACATTATCCTCTCATCAAAACTGTTTTTCAAAATATACTTGAATTATCTTATTTAATCATTGTCTAAATAACATCGTCACTTTGCAATGATAACCATAAGTCGGGACATGGGTAGGTTAGTATATATTTTAAAAACATATAAATTAGTTTATGATTCATGAATACAAATGTATAATTTAAAAATATTAAATATATTACTAATCCTTTTAGTACTAGATGTTAAGAATCGTGCTAAGAATGTTTTATCTGGATAAAAAAAATCCGAACTGGGCAATCTTTGTAAGTCGGGTTTGGCCGGCCAATTTGATTTTGATCTTCTCATGTATGTTTATTTTTGGTTTGTTTTTATTTTTTAAATTTAAGTCGGGACGAGACTATAAGAATTTAAAGTGAAATGAGTCAGAGATGAAAATTTTGAGTATAAGATGACTAAAAAGACCAATAAATAAATAAAAATACTGGTGAATCTGCATTATTCTTCCTTACAAAGTGCATTTTACTGATCTCTATCATCATCATCATCACCATCATTATTATTATTATTAAATAATACCACTATATAATACTTCGTACTAATAAATTTTTAAAAATTTGGGGCTCCTTTAATTGGTGTGCACTGTTATGTAAAACCGATTTGCCATTTATTGATTTTGTGTTTTTTCCTGTCTTTTTCTTTGAATTTTTGCTTTTCATTTTTATTTTCTTGATGAGATAAATTAAACCACGAAAACTCTTACCGTGCGTTGCACGGGTACACATACTAGTAACTCAATAAAAATCACTCCCTCCCTTATTCCCCTCCAAATTCCCCAATTAAGGGCTAAATAAAAACCTGTGATTCATAAATCATAATCACATGCGGCATTTTTGCATAAATTTCAACCACAAAAATGTCATTCAATTTCATTTAAAATATGATCCATCAATCCCAATTGAGTTATCCAAACTTAAACAACATATAGAATATAAAACAGTAAACTCGAGAAATAGTTTAGAATTGTAAAGATGAGAAGACATAGGGTGTGTTTGCAAACCCAACTCAAAAGCACTTCTTAGCTTTTATGATTAAAAAAAGCCAAAAGGGTGTTTGCATATGCACATTTCAGCTTAAATTTAAGCAACTTAAAGCCAAAAGCTCAAAGCAGCCACATTGATGCTTTTAATTGCTTCTTGGGTTTTTAGTAAATATTTACAACTTTAGGAATAGTTATTAGGCTAAAGATTTCATAAAAAAACCAAAATACCCCTCCATCCGCCGAATCCCTCTGCTGCATCAGTCCTGGGTTCTCTTTCTTCTCCAAGACTCCATCCATGGCAAAAAATGTCTTCCTCTTCCTTCTCCAACCATGGTCACATCCGCATGACTTCTTTCACATATAAACATATTGAAGTATGGGCTGATAAGCTGATTAATTTACTGATATTTTGTGTGTGTATGTGACTGGAGGCAACTGCTGAA